AGAACTGCTGTAGGATCTAAGAACAAAAATAACATCAACAGGCCCGAGAACTGCTGTAGGATCTCAGAACAATAACATCAACAGGCCCGAGAACTGCGGTAGGATCTCAGAACAATAACATCAACAGGCCCGAGAACTGCTGTAGCAGGCCCGAGAACTGCTGTAGGATCTCAGAACAATAACATCAACAGGCCCGAGAACTGCAGTAGGATCTGAAAACAATAACATCAACAGGCCTGAGAACTGCTGTAGGATCTCAGAACAATAACATCAACAGGCCCGAGAACTGCTGTAGAATATCAGAACAAAAATAACATCAACAGGCCCGAGAACTGCTGTAGGATCTCAGAACAATAACATCAACAGGCCCGAGAACTGCTGTAGGATCTCAGAAAAATAACATCAACAGGCCCGAGAACTGCTGTAGGATCTCAGAACAAAAATAACATCAACAGGCCCGAGAACTGCTGTAGGATCTCAGAACAAAAATAACATCAACAGGCCCGAGAACTGCCTCAGGATTTCAGAACAATAACATCAACAGGCCCGAGAACTGCTGTAGGATCTCAGAACAAAATAACAACAACAGGCCCGAGAACTGCTCAAAATAACAATCCAGGCCCCAGAACTAGGATAGAACAAAAATAACATCAACAGGATCTCAGAACAAAATAACAACAACAGGCCCGAGAACTCCCTTAGGATTTCAGAACAAAAATAACATCAACAGGCCCGATACCCGAGAACTGCTGTAGAATATCAGAACAAAAATAACATCAACAGGCCCGAGAACTGCTGTAGGATCTCAAAACAAAAATAACAACAACAGGACGAAGAACTGCTGTAGGATCCCAGAACAATAACGTCAACAGGCCCGAGAACTGCTGTAGGATCTCAGAACAAAATAACAACAACAGGCCCGAGAATTGTTGTAGGATCTCAGAACAATAACATCAACAGGCCCGACAACTGCTGTAGGATCTCAGAACAAAAATAACAACAACAGGCCCAAGAACTGCTGTAGGATCTCAGAACAAAATAACATCAACAGGCCCGAGAACTGCTGTAGGATCTCAGAACAAAAATAACATCAACAGGCCCGAGAACTGCTGTAGGATCTCAGAACAAAAAAAACATCAACAGGCCCGAGAACTGCTGTAGGATATCAGAACAAAAATAACATCAACAGGCCCGAGAACTGCTGTAGGATCTCAGAACAATAACATCAACAGGCCCGAGAACTGCTGTAGGATCTCAGAACAATAACATCAACAGGCCCGAGAACTGCTGTAGGATCTCAGAACAATAACATCAACAGGCCCGAGAACTGTTGTAGGATCACAGAACAATAACATCAACAGGCCCGAGAACTGCTGTAGGATTTCAGAACAATAACATCAACAGGACCGAGAACTGCTGTAGGATCTCAGAACAAAATAAAAACAACAGGCCCGACAACTGCTTTAGGATCTCAACAGGCCCGAGAACTGCTGTAGGATCTGAAAACAATAACAACAACAGGCCCGAGAGCTGCTGTAGGATCTCAGAACAATAATAACATCAACAGTTCCGAGAAATGCTGTAGGATCTCAGAACAAAATAACAACCACAGGCCCGAGAAATGCTGTAGGATCCTAGAACAAAATGACAACAACAGGCCGAAGAACTGCTGTAGGATCTCAGAACAACAACATCAACAGGCCCGAGAACTGCTGTAGGATCTAAGAACAAAAATAACATCAACAGGCCCGAGAACTGCTGTAGCATATCAGAACAATAACATCAACAGGCCCGAGAACTGCTGTAGGACCTGAAAACAATAACATCAACAGGTCCGAGAACTGCTGTAGGATCTCAGAACAAAACTAACATCAACAGGCCCGAGAACTGCTGTAGAATCTCAGAACAATAACATCAACAGGCCCGAGAACTGCTGTAGGATCTCAGAACAATAACATCAACAGGCCCGAGAACTTCTGTAGGATCTCAGAACAAAAATAACGTCAACAGGCCCGACAACTGCTGTAGGATCTCAGAACAATAACATCAACAGGCCCGAGAACTGCTTAGGATCTCAGAACAAAAATAACATCAACAGGCCAGAGTACTGCTGTAGGATATCAGAACAAAAATCACATCAAGAGGCCAGAGAACTGCTGTAGGATCTCAGAACAAAACTAACATCAACAGGCCCGTGAACTGCCTCAGGATTTCAGAACAATAACATCAACAGGCCCGAGAACTGCTGTTGGATATCAGAACAAAAATGACATCAACAGGCCCGAGAACTGCTGTAGGATCTCAGAACAAAAATAACATCAACAGGCCCGAGAACTGCTGTAGGATATCAGAACAAAAATAACATCAACAGGCCCGAGAACTGCTGTAGGATCTCAGAACAAAAATAACATCAACAGGCCCGAGAACTGCTGTTGGATATCAGAACAAAAATGACATCAACAGGCCCGAGAACTGCTGTAGGATCTCAGAAAAATAACATCAACAGGCCTGAGAACTGCCGTAGGATCTCAGAACAAAAATAACATCAACAGGCCCGATACCCGAGAACTGCTGTAGAATATCAGAACAAAAATAACATCAACAGGCCCGAGAACTGCTGTAGGATATCAGAACAAAAATGACATCAACAGGCCCGAGAACTGCTGTAGGATCTCTGAAAAATAACATCAACAGGCCCGAGAACTGCTGTAGGATCTCAGAACAAAACTAACATCAACAGGCCCGAGAACTGCTTTAGGATCTCAGAACAAAAATAACATCAACAGGCCCGAGAACTGCAGTAGGATCTCAGAACAATAACATCAACAGGCCCGAGAACTGCTGTAGGATCTCATCAACAGGCCCGAGAACTGCTGTAGGATCTCAGAACAATAATAACGTCAATAGGCCCGAGAACTGCTGTTGGATCTCAGAACAAAACTAACATCAACAGGCCCGAGAACTGCTTTAGGATCTCAGAACAAAAATAACATCAACAGGCCCGAGAACTGCTGTAGGATCTCAGAACAATAACATCAACAGGCCCGAGAACTACTGTAGGATCTCAGAACAAAAATCATATCAGTATATCTGTACAGAGGGAGGTGTAACTGAACCCCGTATAGAAGTACATATCAGTATATCTGTAGAGAGGGAGGTGTAACTGAACCCCCTGTAGAAGTACATATCAGTATATCTGTACAGAGGGAGGTGTAACTGAACTCCCTGTAGAAGTACATATCAGTATAACTGTACAGAGGAAGGTGTAACTGAACCCCCTGTAGAAGTACATATCAGTATATCTGTACAGAGGGATGTGTAACTGAACCCTTTTTAGAAGTACATATCAGTATATCTGTACAGAAGTAGGTGTAACTGAACCCCCTGTAGAAGTACATGTCAGTATATCTGTACAGAGGGAGGTGTAACTGAACCCCCTATAGAAGTACATATCAGTATATCTGTACAGAAGTAGGTGTAACTGAACCCCCTGTAGAAGTACATATCAGTATACCTGTACAGAGGGAGGTGTAACTGAACCCCCTGCAGAAGTACATATCAGTATATCTGTACAGAGGGAGGTGTAACTGAACTCCCTGCAGAAGTACATATCAGTATATCTGTACAGAGGGATGATTTGTATGTGTAAATGAACCCTCTGTAGAAGTCTTTGTTCTTGCAGTTGATAGTAATGAAATCAAAATCTCTTATAATTGGAAATAATTTTATTACAGAGGAAGAAAATAAAACATAATTTGTTTTGTTTTAATCTTTTTTTAACAACATACTTTTTTTTTTTATTTTGGACTTAGGCAAGTGAATGTCTCTATTCCTAGCTAATACTTAGCCGGAACTGCTCTAGGTTTGTTATTGTTGTCGCATTGTTGTATAATAAACACAATTATCAAATGAAGATATCGCCAATTCTCTTGCTGGTGTAGATAGACCCCTTGTGACGTAATAGACAGAGATTAGGAAACCAAAGGCGATTTAGGATGTAAGTTTTGGCCATGACGCAAATTCAAAACTTAGTAACGTTGTACTCAATCTATCAATAATAAATATTTACATTTAACACACCATAAAACTGACAAACATCCATATCCTCGCCTAGCATCGAAAAGTACAATAATTCTACTGATAATAACACAGAACACAGAATTAAAATTTAATCGTTTTACAGTTCATTCGGAATGATAGAAAACACACAACACCTAATATGTAGAAAAAGCCCTTATCTAGTCTCTTAAATACGTAAATCGGTTTATACATGAGTGGTTGTATACAGCTAAAGTTTGTGCTATTTCTGAAATTCAGTAGCTGACATAAAGTTAGAACCGTGCAACAGAAGCCATATACAGGCCGATTTTTTGTTGTATGATAATTTACGTGTTTATTGCTCTAAGTGGCAACTAAAGTCTTATAAATATTTACATGTGATAACTCCCTGTCCCCCGATGTCGTTATGGACCGCAGACAGGCCTTTATACAATATCCTATATATATGTACTATATGAATTTTTTAAAATGTCATGTAATGTTTTTTAAGATGAAGTTGTTGATAATATTTTTATCTACATCCTTTAATCATTCAATGAGCCAGTTTTCTCTACATGTGTACCATAGCTGGTAGTGTCAAAACCTGGTTATGCTATGATAGGCAGGCTCGTGTACCCTAGGACTTCTAATCTAAATTGCCTGGCTTAAAACAATTAGCTACCATCATCCGCAATGCCCTTTTTTACTTATCGTGACTTGACATTAATACATAAAGAAAATACCAACATAGCAAAATAATAAAAATCCAAACTCAAATTTAAAAAAACTATTGCAAAATATGAACGAGGGAAAGTTTACACGGAGACTCCTGAAAAAGAACAAAGAGAATATGACCAGGTGTTCTGGAGGAGTAAGTGTCCTCTGCTTCATCAAAAGTTGAACGTTGCGTTTTTTTTAAATAAAAGAAAAAAAAAACGCTTGATGTCCAATGTGAAATATAATTAAGGTTTTTTCACCAACATTTTAGTGGTTTTCATGAGCGTTCTATCTGTCTGTTGATAGAATCCTTCCCAGTAGATACCACGTCTCCACTTTGGCGGCTTGTACATCCCATTTAAGTTGGCCCTTGTACATTGTCTGTACCACCATGATCCTCCTCTTCCCACGGCACAGTTATAATCCGCGTCCTTATCATTGTCTCGGTCAAATGTCGAAAACTGCTGGCCACTGTTCCATGTAAACGAATCACCTGTGTCAAAAGTATATAAATAACAAGCTATTGTGGACAACTGTTTCAAGCTAATTCAACGACAAACAGACAGCTAAGCGGACGGACGGACAGATGAACATGCTGACAGACAGACAATGGAGAATTAAGAATTTGTACTTTGAACGGATATCAAAATTAAAAACACTTCGGAAAGCTAAACACACTGAGCTTCAACCTCCATGTTTATAAATATTTCCTCGTGTAGTCATAGAAACGACCATATAACTAATGACTGCGTCTTAAAACGGAATATCAAATAAAGTCATCTATATTAAGTAATAATATTTTAAAAACCGACATATATATAATGTATTTTTAAAATTTTTATTGGGATCTGTTATTTCCAGTTCACTGAAGATCTGGACCCGTATTCATGAAACCGTCCTCATGCTCAAGCATGAATTTTGTGCTCAAGCCTTATGTCTTGTTTATATTAAAAAATAATAAATAAGGCTGATTTTGCCAAAGATTAAAAAAGATTGAAAGGACATCAAGTCAAAGCTATATTCAATGTTTATAGTTTAACATTTGTATTATTTTATATGATTTAGGCGAATTATAAAAAAGTTTTTGAGCACAAAATCTATGCTTGAACATGAGAATGATTTCACGAATACGGGCCCAGAATTTGTTTTAAAATCATGAACTTGATTTAGCATCAATCTGACTTGATTGATGACTTACTTATATTTCCAGTGAAGCCGTCCACAGACAGTCTGTAATTGTCCTTTTCACTGGAAATCTGAAACACCGAGTATTCAGCATAACCTGATGTCCCGTTCAAAGATTCCAGTTGTAAACGGAGCATAGACGGGGTACCCGTCAGGGAAACGATATGTTCGTTACCTGTAACACAACTCTGTAATTAACACCTACTCTGGTAACATAGGAAATAAGATAACATGACCAATTTTCAACACAAATACATCTCTCGTTACTTAAAGAAAAGACCTTATCAATATATCTGGGTATGAAAATGAAGGACTTCGCTAGGTCTTTTACACCTGTTTTCAAAACCTCTCCGATAAATTCAGCCTCGTATAAAAAACAAGTGACCAAGAGAGAGACACAGTTTGTTCCAAAACATATGTCTGCTGCCAGGTCTTTCTGTTAAATTTTCCATTAAATCGGTACAAATATTTAAGGATCCAAACCCAGTAATACGTTTTCATGATTGACGGTGTTAAAGGAAAAAGTCAAAAACAGAAATTAAGCAAAATCAAACCAGTAGAACGAGTTGTTTCGCATGTGATCTTCTTGACAACGATATCGAATTACAATAACATTTCGGATTGGAAACTACCTCAATATACCAAACCCAAACTGTAGTGAAACAATGTGTGGAGTTGTCTATAAAGCTGTACTCACCTAACCAGAAATTGCCGCGAAGATCTCCAAATCCTGTTTTATAGTCACTCCAGTTCCTGTAGAAATCTACCTCATCATTTTGTCTGTTCTGTATTACCTTTATGATACAACATGGATTAGGGTAACTTGTGAAATACAATCAGTAATAGGGTTACTTGTGAAATACAATCAGTGTTAGGGTTACTTGTGAAATACAATCAGTGTTAGGGTTATTTATTAATACAATCAGTGTTAGGGTTATTTATTAATACAATCACTGTAAGGGTTATTTATTAATACAATCAGTGTTAGGGTTATTTATTAATACAATCACTGTAAGGGTTATTTATTAATACAATCAGTGTTAGGGTTATTTATTTATACAATATGGTTTAATTTTACTGTAGTAATATAGTTAGGGTTGGGGTTACCATGTGTTACAGTAAGGGATGAAGTTACCATGGATACATTTAGGGTTGGGGTTACCATGCGATACATTTAGGGTTGGGGTTACCATGCGATACATTTAGGGTTGGGGTTACCATGCGTTACAGTAAGGGTTGGGGTTACCATGAGATACATTTAGGGTCGGGGTTACCATGCGATACATTTAGGGTTGGGGTTACCATGTGTTACAGTAAGGGTTGGGGTTACCATGCGATACATTTAGGGTTTGGGTTACCATGCGATACATTTAGGGTTGGGGTTACCATGTGTTACAGTAAGGGATGAAGTTACCATGGATACATTTAGGGTTGGGGTTACCATGTATTACAGTAAGGGATGAAGTTACCATGGATACATTTAGGGTTGGGGTTACCATGTGTTACAGTAAGGGATGGAGTTACCATGAGATACATTTAGGGTTGGGGTTACCATGTGTTACAGTAAGGGATGGAGTTACCATGATATACATTTAGGGTTGGGGTTACCATGTATTACAGTAAGGGATGAAGTTACCATGGATACATTTAGGGTTGGGGTTACCATGTGTTACAGTAAGGGATGGAGTTACCATGAGATACATTTAGGGTTGGGGTTACCATGTGTTACAGTAAGGGATGGAGTTACCATGAGATACATTTAGGGTTGGGGTTACCATGCGTTACAGTAAGGGTTGGGGTTACCATGCGTTACAGTAAGGGTTGGGGTTACCATGCTTTACAATAAGGGTTAGGGTTACCATGCTTTACAATAAGGGTTAGGGTTACCATGAGATACATTTAGGGTTGGAGATACCATACGATATAGTTAGGGTTGGGGTTACCATGCTTTACGGTAAGAGTTGGGGTTACCATGCGTTACAGTAAGGGTTGGGGTTACCATGTGATACATTTAGGGTTGGGCTTACCATGCGTTACAGTAAGGGTTGGGGTTACCATGCTTTACAGTAAGGGTTGGGGTTACCATGTGTTACAGTAAGGGTTGGAGTTACCATGCGATAGTTTAGGGTTTTGATTACCATGCGATACATTTAGGGTCGGTTTTACCGTGCGTTATTGTAAGGGTTGGGGTTATCAGGCTTTACAATAAGGGTTAGGGTTACCATGAAATACATTTAGGGTTTGGGTTACCATACGATATACTTAGGGTTGGGCTTGCCATGTGATACATTTAGGGTTGGGGTTACCATGTGTTACAGTAAGGGTTGGGGTTACCATGCGATACATTTAGGGTTGGGGTTAACATGCTTTACAGTAAGGGTTGGGGTTACCATGAGATACATTTAGGGTTGGGGTTACCATGTGTTACAGTAAGGGATGGAGTATGTCAGGCGATAGTTTAGGGTTGGTGTTACCATGCGATAGTTTAGGTTAGGGGTTACCATGAGATACATTTAGGGTTGGGGTTACCATGTGTTACAGTAAGGGATGGAGTTACAATGGATACATTTAAGGTTGGGGTTACCATGTGTTACAGTAAGGGATGGAGCTACCATGAGATACATTTAGGGTTGGGGCTACCATGTGTTACAGTGAGGGATGGAGTTACCATGGACACATTTAGGGTTGGGGCTACCATGTGTTACAGTAAGGGATGGAGTTACCATGAAATACATTTAGGGTTGGGGTTACCATGTGTTACAGTAAGGGATGGAGTTACCATGAGATACATTTAGGGTTGGGGTTACCATGTGTTACAGTAAGGGATGAAGTTACCATGGATACATTTAGGGTTGGGGTTACCATGTGTTACAGTAAGGGATGGAGTTACCATGAGGTACATTTAGGGTTGGGGTTACCATGTGTTACAGTACGGGTTGGGGTTACCATGCTTTACAGTAAGGGTTATGGTTACCATGAGATACATTTAGGGTTGGAGATACCATACGATATACTTAGGGTTGGGCTTGCCATGAGATACATTTAGGGCTGGGGTTACCATGTGTTACAGTAAGGGATGGAGTTACCATGGACACATTTAGGGTTGGGGTTACCATGTGTTACAATAAGGGTTAGGCTTACCATGAGATACATTTAGGGTTGGAGATACCATACGATATACTTAGGGTTGGGGTTACCATGCCTTACAGTAAGGGTTGGAGTTACCATGAGATACATTTAGGGTTGGGGCTACCATGTGTTACAGTAAGGGATGGAGTTACCATGGACACATTTAGGGTTGGGGTTACCATGTGTTACAGTAAGGGATGGAGTTACCATGAGATACATTTAGGGTTGGGGTTACCATGCCTTACAGTAAGGGTTGGAGTTACCATGCTTTACAGTAAGGATTGGGGTTACCATGTGATACATTTACGGTTGGGGTTACCATGCGTTACAGTAAGGGTTGGGGTTACCATGCGTTACAGTAAGGGTTGGGGTTACCATGCTTTACAATAAGGGTTAGGGTTACCATGCTTTACAATAAGGGTTAGGGTTACCATGAGATACATTTAGGGTTGGAGATACCATACGATATACTTAGGGTTGGGGTTACCATGTGATACATTTAGGGTTGGGGTTACCATGAGATACATTTAGGGTTGTGGTTACCATGCGATACATTTAGGGTCGGAGTTACCATGCGTTACAGTAAGGGTTGGGGTTACCATGAGATACATTTAGGGTTGGGCTTACTATGCGTTACAGTTAGGGTTGGGGTTACCATGAGATACATTTAGGGTTGGGGTTACCATGTGTTACAGTAAGGGTTGGGGTTAATATGCGATAGTTTAAAGTTGTGGTTACCATGCGTTACAGTAAGGTTTGGGGTTACCATGAGATACATTTAGGGTCGGGGTTACCATGCGATACATTTAGGGTTGGGGTTACCATGCCTTACAGTAAGGGTTGGGGTTACCATGCGTTACAGTAAGGGTTGGGGTTACCATGTGATACATTTAGGGTTGGGGTTACCATGCGTTACAGTAAGGGTTGGGGTTACCATGCGTTACAGTAAGGGTTGGGGTTACCATGCGATAAAGTAAGGGTTGGGGTTACCATGAGATACATTTAGGGTTGGGCTTACTATGCGTTACAGTTAGGGTTGGGGTTACCATGCGATACACTTAGGGTTATGGTTACCATGGGATAGTTAAGGGTTGAGGTTACCATGCGATACATTTAGGGTTGGGCTTACTATGCGTTACAGTTAGGGTTGGGGTTACCATGCGATACATTTAGGGTTGGGGTTACCATGGGATAGTTTAGGGTTGGGGTTACCATGCGATACATTTAGGGTTGGGGTTACCATGCGATAGTTTAGGGTTGGGGTTACCATGTTATACATTTAGGGTTCGGGTTAATATGCGACAGGGGTTACCATGGGATAGTTTAAGGTTGGATTTACCATGCGATACATTTAGGGTTGGGGTTACCATGCGATAGTTTAGGGTTGGGGTTACCATGGGATAGTTTAGGGTTGGGGTTACAATGCGATACATTTATGGTTAGGATTACCATGCAATAGTTTAGGGTTGGGGTTACCATGCGATACATTTAGGGTTAGGATTACCATGCGATAGTTTAGGGTTGGGGTTACCATGCGAGGGTTGAGGTTACCATGCGATACATTTAGGGTTGCTGTTACCATGCGATACATTTAGGGTTGAGGTTACCATGCGATACATTTAGGGTTATGGTTACCATGGGATAGTTAAGGGTTGGGGTTACCATGCGATACATTTAGAATTTCGGTTACCATGCGATACATTTAGGGTTGGGGTTACCATGCGATACATTTAGGGTTGGGGTTACCATGGGATAGTTTAGGGTTGAGGTTACCATGCGATACATTTAGGGTTGGTGTTACCATGCGATATATTTAGGGTTGGGGTTACCATGCGATACATTTAGGGTTGGGGTTACCATGCGATACATTTAGGGTTGGGGTTACCATGTGTTACAGTAAGGGTTGGGGTTACCATGCGATAGTTTAGGGTTGTGGTTACCATGCGATACATTTAGGGTCGGAGTTACCATGCGTTACAGTAAAGGTTGGGGTTACCATGAGATACATTTAGGGTCGGGGTTACCTTGCGATACATTTAGGGTCGGAGTTACCATGCGTTACAGTAAGGGTTGGGGTTACCATGCGTTACAGTAAGGGTTAGGGTTACCATGCCTTACAGTAAGAGTTGGGGTTACTATGTGTTACAGTAAGGGTTGGGGTTACCATGCGATAGTTTAGGGTTTTGATTACCATGCGATACATTTAGGGTCGGAGTTACCGTGCGCTACAGTAAGGATTGGGGTTATCAGGCTTTACAATAGAGGTTAGGGTTATCATGAGATACATTTAGGGTTTGGGTTACCATACGATATACTTAGGGTTGGGCTTGCCATGCGATACATTTAGGGTTGGGGTTACCATGCTTTACAGTAAGGGTTGGGGTTACCATGCGTTACAGTAAGGGTTGAGGAAACCATTGATACATTTAGGGTTTGGGTAACCTTACGATATATTTAGGTTTCGGGTTAACATGAGAAACATTTAGGGTCGGGGTTACCATGCGATACATTAAGGATTGGGGTTACCATGTGTTACAGTAAGGGTTGGGGTTACCATGCGACAGTTTAGGGTTGTGGTTACCACGCGATGTATGTAGGGTCGGAGTTACCTTGCGTTACAGTAAGGGTTGGGGTTACCATGAGATACATTTAGGGTCGGAGTTAC